TTAAAATAATTTGATATCGGTGTACATGTTCCCCAAAAGCAGCACAAAAAAAGGAAGAAACCTTGGCTATGCTAGTTGTTTTTGTTTCTTTTACAGGTACCCCAATCTTTTTTTTTCACACGAGTATAATTTAGGGGATTCTAAAGTGGAGCGAGTGGAGCGACTCATCGGTCACACGATCAACACGGGAAAGTGTGCCGCCAGCGTTTGCCCGCTACAATTGTCACCTATTTTCAAGCACTAAATTTAAGTGACGAAAATAATCCCTGGAGAAGGGGAACAAGAGGGACAAAGGACAAACACAAATCTCCAAACACAGCTAGGTGACTGGTGCGCGACCGAAAAGATCCGCCTGGTCCGGGTATCGAACCCGGGACCTCTCCATTACAGGTGGAGCGCTCTACCAATTGAGCTAACCAGGGGTTACACATCAGTAGAGCAAACGGGTTTTATCAGCCGCCACCAGTCTAACACCAACAAGGGTGAAGCTTGCAATTTTAAGGTTATGATTATAATGCAATTAAATGCAATTAAATTCGTCATTCTTGTCCAGCTCGCTTGCACATTTGCATTTAATTGCATTATAATCAAATTTAAGTGCTTGAAAAATTTAAGCCCAAACATATTTCTAGGCAAATTAAAATTGTAGAAACTTGTGTGCCTTTATTTATGGCTAAGGTAAGTACATTCATACAAAAATAACAATGAAATTTCAAACCAGTAAAAAATTATTGAACATATCAAATATGCTACACTGGGCTTTTCTGCTACGTCCTTGCCAGCTGCAGTCTCGTGGCTTGTGGTATGCAAAGAAACAGTTGCGTCGCTTGCTCAGACTCGGAGTTACAATGCATTTCGCGCACACAACCGTGCTAAATGTGTTCACGCTGGGCACACAGTTCCTGCATCGAAGTCGGTTGCTCGCCATAGTTGGAAGATGCCCAACCCCGTCTTTTCTAACGTCATCTTGGGGATGACTTGGCGTGAACTTCCTCTTCTTCATCAGAGGCGAAGGCAGACTGACCGGCCATCCTCTTGGCGCATTTCCAGTAGAGATTGGGCTTTCTGGTAAACTGGCAATGAAGGTTCTCAGCTTGAGTGGCCGCTCCTTCAGCTGATGGCTTTGGCGCCTGTGAATATTCCAGGCATTCACGACACAGATGAAGGTAGCATGATATATGAGGTACGTGTACCAGAGCCTCAATCGAATAGTGTATTTGTACAGCGACACCTGATAATTATGCTGGTCGATCCCCCCCCCCCCCCCCCCCCCAAGCTGTTGTACATACCAACAATTGCCGGGCGTGTGATGTCAATGTGGAGTTTGGTCTTCCGGTCATACCGTTTGACTTGCTGAATTGACTCAACAGAGACGAAGTTTGACACTAGGGTGACAGCTTTCCTGTCAAACCAGCGAACTACCACAATTCCTTTGTCATTGTCAACTCTGTAGTCATGTGAGCCTTGCCCAACTTTTCTCAGAGTCTTCTCATCCTGGAGTTTGCAGTCTCTCAGCTGATTTTGCCTCAGAGTTCCAACGTACTGTATTCCTCTCGTTAGCCTGTCAACAAGGTTCAAAGAGCTAAAAAAATTGTCAGCTGCAACCTTGAAGTCTTCATTTGAACGTATTTCAGAGCAGATGCTCAGGACAGTATCACCACAAGTCCAAAAATGTAGTTTTCTTTGGAGTGGCCTTGGTATACCTCGAACTGGTAAAGGACACCGGTTGTGCCTGCCCGTCCCCAAAGCGTGAAACCCCACGGCATCGGTTTGTTTGGGATGTACTGTTTTAGCGAGCTCCTTCCTGTAAATAACACCATTATCACATCCACCGCATTGAACTCTTCTGGTTCAATGCTCTAGAGGTGCTGGAATAATAAAATCCAAGGACGAATCTTCCACAACTTGTCCTCCTTCGCTTCTTTGGTGGTTTCCATGTTGTTTACAGCATGCATGCATTGAATCAGCTTCAAGAAACGATTTCTCGACCTCTTGTCAGGGATAGGAGAATACCTTATCCCATTCTCGCAGTAGCATATGACGTTCGGCATTTTGTAAGCCCCATTTTCAGGTATATTCTAATATACTGCTCCAGCTCTTGCAGAGTTGTGTCACGGAGCTGCCGTATTTCTGCGTACCGTACACATTTGTTTGCTCCACTCGCATAGTGAGCACATCAGTCCTTAGAAACTGGCGGAAAAGGAACAATGGTGAATCTATGGCATCCGGCTCAAAGAATACTTTGGAAAATTCAGCATGACTGTTTTGGAGCAATTCCTTTCGCCATTTGTTGTATGGACGAGAAGACGAAGCTACAGATGATCCGAAGGAATTTTCTACGGTTTCTTCATCATCACTTGTCTCAGAGGGCTCAGCCACGGCGGGGGGACTAATTTTCGTCACTTTCCGACATATCACTAAAATCGCTGACATCTTCGCCAGCGACGATGTTGTTCAATATGTTCCTAACTTAGGAACCTAAAATTAGAAGGAACAAATCAATAAAAAAAAACGGTTAAAACGTGTACCATTCAAAGCTTTACCAAGAAAACGTATCAGAATTGGTACAAAAATTTTGCCATCAATTACGACCCACTGTATCGAAAATAATAATGCTTTATTCGGTTTCTAAAAACCCGGGCGACAGTGAAAAGGCTATTGCCCATGCCATAGAGGCCCACTGTACCCGCTACACAGACATATATACATAAAAAAAAAATAAAAAAAAATATATATATAAATCTTTGTACACTGGGATTTGGGTCGGATTGAGTGTCAGATCACAGTTCTTTCAGATGGATGGTTGCACATTTACACAGTTCCTTTATGTCCGCTTTGCTTTCAAATGTCCCTTGTGTGACGTCACTCGGGAGGGAGCGCCAGAGCTCGATGGTTCTCGGGAGGAGCGTGCTTCTATGACGCTCCGTCCGTCCAAGGAGGGGTTGTAGTTTATCGGCGCGATTCTTCCTCACATACCCTAGGAGAGGCGTAGGAGGGCCACCCAGCGTGCAGGCTAGGAGGCGGAGCGAAGCCACCTGCCTACGGACAGACAGGCAGTTCCACCCCACAGCTCCGAGAAGTTCCGGGGTGCCAATGTCCCTGTATTGCCTCAGCTGCGGCGGCGATTGGCGACGCAGGATAGCATAGGCCGCGCAGAAATTTGAAGCAACGTTACTAAGCGGACGGGGCTCAAAAACAACAGCGAACGGAATAATGTGGTTGCGCAACACTTTCTGAGCAAAAAAAAAAAAAAAAAAGAAAGTGCCGAATTTAGGACGGCTTACTGTTTTTCGAGTAAAATGACGCCGACGGTATGCCTTCGAGCGAGCTGCTGCGTGCGGCCATCTTGCTCTAGCTGCCAGCGGCAGCCTGGCGGGGCCTTGCTGAACTACCCAAATCGGAAAACTCTGTCAGCGTTTGAAAACCGATACTGCAGGCTTTGGTCTTAGCCATAGAGTTATTACAATAATAACGCTATGGTCTCAGCTTCACGCAATTTATTGTCACTTTTTGAGTTATCAAACCCCACGTAGCAAATATGATACGCTGGGCTTTGTGGGGTATATAACAACACAAGACTAAGAATTATGTTACCTCTAGCCGATTACTGACTAGGAATGCAGATATTATTGTAACCTTTGCTGCTATTACACGCGCGGAACGAGCATGGGGCAACATGGCATTAGTAAGCTTATCACTGCGTGAATCTGAAACCGAAACTGATCGGGAGCATGCCATGTGGTGTTACTTTAGCCGATTACTTTCATATCATGGTGCCTTTCAAAGCGTTAGATTAAGAGAAGTGTCTAGCCGGCCAATCTAAGTACTCAGAACAACTGTATACTAATAATACTTGCAGATACTTTTTGTATTCATCAACTAAAATGCGGCAGTCACCTGCCTAATCCTTGTCAGAACCGGGTAGGGCATATATAAGAATCGGGTCGGTTGGGTGGTCAGAGTAGAGAGTCGCGGTTGTGTTGTGGTTGCTTGTGCCTTGTTGTACTGTTCATATGTATGTGCCCGTAACAGTGTTCGGTAACGTGGTTGGTGTGTTGGCGCATGAGTTGTCATAGGTGCAGTACGTACGTAGCTCTAGAGCCTCAGGAGAGTTAGTGAAGGAAGAGTATTTTTTTTTAGTGCATCTAGCGGTTACTACTACACCTCCTAGGTGGCGCAAGCTGCCGCCTGATTCAATAAGCTAAGTGTTGTGAAGTCCTGTAGCTATTGACTACAAACAGCTGGCTACGGTCCAGCCGTCCAGGCTCTGCGGTCCACTGGGCTCCCTACGTGCCTCTCAGATTGAAAACAATCGTAATAATTGTTTCACTCGGCCACCTAAATTATTGTTCTGTGTCGAAGAGCTGCGAAGTGCAGGCAGCAATGGATAACCACGTCGGTTGAGGTAGGCCCAAACAAGAAGAGATAGGGAAAAAAAAAAAGAAAGAATGCGGGGCGTTGGTGCGAGTTGAACGCCTCCCGTCGTGTCGACGAAGGTGCCCAGCGATTCATCGCCGCAAACGACAAGCATACGTTGTCTTCAATAAAGTCAGCATACCCATTCCTCGCGTTACGATTTCTTTTTTGAGCGTTCTCCGCCGGCGGTAAAAATACAGTCAATCTAGCGAGATGCCGTCGGGTGCAATCGCGACGATTCCGGCAAACACGCTGCCGTCCTCCCCGCTAATAGGTACGGTACCGGTGTCTAAGGACGGATGCTTAGAGTGTCTGGTGGCGCCTGGAAGACGTCGAATAGGCGTATGCGCCCTATTCTCTAACTCGGCCGAAAAGCCGTGCTGTTCGCTAGGCCTTACCGGGGAATCCGAGCCTCGCTAACCGTCCGCCATGTTGCTTTTGGGGGTAGTCAAATTTCACTACCTGCTTTTTGACTACGTGTGGAGTCGTCATTTTTACCCTAGGGGTCGTTATATTTGGGACAACTTTTTACCACCCCAAAGGTAGTCACCTATGACTACCTTTTTTTTTAGAGTGTAGCCTACCCTCCCGGTGGAATTCGATATTTTCTTCGGAATCTCTGCACGTCAGTATCTGGCCAATCTGAGAGAAGCACGGCCTGAGCAACTCGTCCGCTTCCTGCTCATCCGCGTAATTCCTGTTTAGCGGCTGTGCTGAGACGTCGGGGGCTTTGAGGGTTTGGAACCTTTGGGGTTGGTTCCTCATCTGCGAGCGCGTTACAACTGCTGCTACAGCTTCCTCAACAGCGGGCTCGTTGCTGACGGGTTCTTCCACTGCCGCCTTTGGGTCGTCGGGTGCCCTCGCGCCTTCTATATTTCCAAGGATTAGGTCATAGAGCGGCTCCGCCATGCAGAGCACCGTGATGACCCCTGAATAGTACGGGGTGTCGATCTCCACCCGCACTTCGGGCAGCATCCTGGCTGTTCCGTCGACTACATAAACGGGCCGGGTCTCTCCTGTGAGCTGATCGTCGTGGATGAGCTCTCGTCTTATAATCGCCGTATTGCATCCGGTGTCTCGCAATACCGAAATCGATTTGCCCTCATACGTTCCGGCGACCACCGGCAGTCCTTCGACTAGAAACCTCGGCTGTGTTATCATGACTGCATTCACGACGGGGATTCTTTCCCCATTCTTCAGCTCTAGGTAGCCGTCGCGAATGCCCTCCCGATTCGTCACCCCGACGGGGGAGTAAACGCACGATGCCTGAGGCCTATCGTTTGTTCCCGACCGGCACGCGTCGGCCTTGTGGCCCTTTCGCCCGCACTTGAAGCAGGTAAGGCTGTGGTTGTTAGTGGTGTGGGCCCGGCAGTGTGAAGCCTGATGCCCAACGCGGTTGCAAAGATAACAACGAGGCGCTGTTCGTTGACTGCTTCTTTTCTCGTCAGTTTCGGGCCTCCCGATATCATCTCGGTTATCCTTCTTTACTTTGGCGAGGTTAAGGCTTCCCTGCGCTTCTAAAAACTGGTCGGCTAGATCCAGCATCTCTCCCAACGATTTCGCCTTCCTTTCCTTCAGATAGAGCGCCATGTTGGAATGACACCCATGTAGGAACCTTTCCTTAATCAGGAGCTCTCGGAGGTCTTTGAACTCGTGTTTCGTATCGGACAGCTCGATCCAGCGATCGAAATAGTGGCTGAGACGCGCCGAGAACGGAGCTGCGGTCTCACCATCCGCCGGTTTGCCTGAATCGAATTTGTCCCGAAAGCCGTCCGCCGTGAAACGAAACCGCTTCAAAAGGGCTGTCTTTACCTTGGAGTAATCCGCTGCATCACCCGGCGGCAACCGCCCGTAAACACTGAGTGCTTCCCCGCTCAAACATGTTGCTAGAGCTGTAGACCACTGGCTCTCTGGCCACTTCTGGCTTTCCGCAAGGCTCTCAAATCGTCTAATATACGCGTCTAGGTCATCCTTCCGGTCATCGAACGGGATGAGAAGCTTGCTTGTGTTCAGTTTCAAGCTTGGCTCCGCGTCTTTTCCCCGGCTTCCTTCCTTTTCTCTGGTCTCCTTCTCCAGCTGCTGACACTCTATTTTCAGGCGCATAAGCTGAATCTGACGCTCGTCAGCCTCCTTCGCGGCTGTGCGCTCATCCTCCGCTGTCTGCCGTGCAAACGCTCGATCCTCTCGCTGTTTATCTTCTACCCATTTTCGGAGCTCAGCGCCCGCCAGGCCAAGCTGACTACCCATCGCTAGCAACTTTTCCATTTCCATGCTTCTATCTCCGAAACACTTTCAACAACCCAAACAGGCGCTCACAAAAGGAAATCCCGTTCATGCATCGTACGCCTCAAATAACGCGGCACATTTCCAGAACTCGTCTCCCTCTCCAGTCACCACGTTTCCTTCGCATCGAACGTCCTGTCGCGGACGCCAGTTTATTGTCACGAGCCCGGTGACGACGGAAGGTCATCACCGAGACATGACAATAAGGGGGTGGTCGTTCGATGCCCGGCATAGCCGGTAAGCAAACGCAGAGAATGAGACGGAGGCGTGTTATAAGGTAACAACAACAAAACAGTGTTTATAGGCTCGAAACGAACATAGAAAGGGAATTTAAAGTAACAGAACGTACATTTTACAAGACAGTGATGCTACGAGCGACAAACGTGTCGAGTTAAGCACAGAGAAGTACGTTACACATCCAGTTAAGTACGCGTGTACAAAGATCAAGACGAAAGTAAGAGTCCAATTAGCGACGGTCGAAAGGAATGTTCAAAATTGAAGCAACATACAGTTAACCGGGGAGCACGGCGGCAGTCCATCCACAGAGACGACACACCGGCCCCCGAAGCGGCGGTCCTTCCGGGGCAGCGGGTGGTCGGTCTCGGAGATGCGGTGCGGCGGCTCGGGTTCCCGGGAGTACGCGGCGGAGGCTTTCCCCCCGAAGAGCGGACTGGTGCTGGGGTCCAGTCGCCCTCTTTTTAACGGCGTCGGGCGCTCACGGCCGAGGCCCTCGCGGACGCTTGTTCACGCACGGGGTCGGAGTCGAAGCAGCACAACACCAAAAGCACACATAGTAGTTCATACAAAAAGGGAGGACCACGTAGACACGGCACCTTTGACACTGCATGGCCGCCATGTTGAAGTTAGAAAAAGTAAGACATAGCTAAAACAGGAGGCCCCTACGTCAACAACTTCTGTCCTGCTAAGGGTGACCTTGCAGGCGAGAAAAGTTTACCAATACACAAATGGAGCTGAAGACTTTGGGCGCAGTGAGGGTGACTTTGAGGTTGGAAAAAGTAAGAGAGACACAAAACATGAATCACGTACACCCCCGCTCGCGAACCGCGAGAGGTTGAGCTAACTAGGAAGAAACTAACAGAACAAAACAACGCGCACGTACACGTGCCTTTGCAGCAACCGAACCAGCGACGGAGAAACATACAGGCTACAAGGAGAAATATGTGTACGGAAACGAAAACGCGTTATATTTAAATAACGTAATAAAAATAAATTACAGGATGCCACTACTTCTGTGACACCCAGAAAAGTGCCTTTGTCGGATTTCCAACCCGCAGACAAGAAACCTGCAGGTTACTTTGGGGCAACCTACACAGTTTTACACGGTAGAGGCTCTGTGACAAAAGCAGGAGAAAACACTTTCAGGTACGACGCCGGCCGCCACCCCAAAGCGAGTCGTTGGTGGCACCACATCTTTGTGTTAATAATATTTAGGACCTTATATGATTTGGGTAAAGTTTCTTCACAATTCGTCAAACTTCTGTATGTTTCACATACCCAATTTTTCCCCTTCAACTGGAAACCTCAAAGATTATTTTTCGGTTTCCAGTTCAAGTTTTTTCCAGAATAAAAAAATTATAATGTTTCGAGTTGACTCCAGTTTGTACACAAATTGGAGTTTTTTCTTATGTTTGGTTTTCTTTTCACTTCGATGCCCTGGAGGATTAATGAAATCCACTGTCTACGATACAGATTACCTCTTTCGTCTTTATACCTTGAAAAATGTACAGACCGCCAACGCAGCATCAGTTTGTACCGCCACCTCTGTCACTTAATCGTCACTTCAGTGTCGCGTCGTGCAAGCAACCGAAAAAGGGGTCGGCTTTCAAGGCACAGTGTTATGTAAGGAAAGTAATGGTGACCAGTTCCCGTCCCGACCCAACTATCCACCTCGTGCAGAGCTTGTGAGCTCCGGTTGGAATGGCCGGGAGGGGCCATTACAAACAGCTGATTTTACTCTCTTTGAGCACATAAGTTATTCAAGGTTATTGCGTTCCGTAACTTCATTGTACTGATACCTTGCGAGCGCATGAGGCACCGCCATACCCGGGGCCATGTAAGTAAACTTGGACGGGTGAAATCCGGGCGGTCATGATATCACGAAAGCTCGCCTGCACCGTCAAAAAGTAAGGAACAATATGTCAGAAACAATCTTTCTCTGAATTCAGCACATCTACGAACCTCCAACGAAGTTGGCCCTGCGAACAGGAGAGTTTACGATTGGTTTTCAAGGCATTCCGTTACGGGGTTCTGTCAGTAACTGATATTTTCTGTTTTCTTTTTTTTTTCATAGTTTTAAAGTGGCAAGATGTGAATGAGTATAGCGCACACCTTAAGAACGAAAAGCTTAATCCGTCATTCTTTACTTAAGTACCGGGTATAGCTTGATTACATAAAGCTGGGGTCATACTGCTTATACATCATACAAAAGACAGTCTGCATACAGATTTGAGGGCAAGTCACCATGAGATCCATGCTTCGAATGCAGCCTGGCAATGGGTTCAAGGAGAAACTTAGCATGCAACATTCGAACCACACATATTGTGGTGACTTGCGTGTGCAGACTGTCTTTTGTATGATGTATGAGCAGTGTGACCCCGGCCAGCTGTCTTCTGGGCAAAAACACAATGTCCCGCTATCACATTGAGGACCCGGCCAGCTGACACGGGGGATTCGCGTCATAGGCTTCTGAAACACGAGCTCTTGAAAGCAGGGCAAAAGGGGCAGGGTGCTTCACATTGGGTGCTTTTGTGCACCACCCGCAAAAGGCTGCTGAAACCTTATAAAAAATTTCATTTGAACCATTTTTGCTGCTATTTGCACAACCTACAGCTGCACAGTGATGAGGCATAACAATTATGAAGCCAAGCCGTAAGAATAGCGGAGGTAGTCAAGCCAAACCAATCCTGACTGAGTGGACGAGAAAGCCCCCAAAAATGATGCCTTTCCCTTTCCTCTTCTCTCTGAGTTCACACATGTGCCCAGGTATACATGGCTTGCATTGACGTCACATCAGCCGCCATTGTTCCATACCATGTGCCTGTTTCTGTACCTTCTGCAGCATACATTTGACACCATCAAATTTGTCTTCTGGGCAAGGCTTGCTGAGAGAAACAAATTGAATGGTGCGAAATGTATGCTGCACAAAGTACGGTGCAGCAGTGGCAGCTGGTACGGTGCCATATGACGCCCCGTGCAAGGCATGGTTCCCGGACATTTCATCGAACGCCGTTTCGTCAAACGCTGTTTCATCGAAAAAATGGACGTTTCATCGAACGCCGTTTTATCGAATTGCTGACGGGAGTTTCATGAATGTCTTTTAAATAAGAAGTGTGAAAGATGTTCTTTTATGCAAGTATCGAGTGCATTTTCGTGTCATTCACCGATTTCATCGTCAGGTTTTTTAATGTCCAAACTTGTGGCTGTTACAATTTATTTTGATGCAAGTAACCCATGAGGATATTTGTACTGATCTTTATGTTTGTTTTGAACATTGTGCCAATCTGTTCACCCCTTCTGTATTACCCGATGGGCCTTGAGGGTATTGTAACAAATAAATAAAAAGTCCCACTCCCGGTAAGAGCGCACTCCAACTCATGGAGGCCAGAAGATGACTTAGGTTTTGCGCAGGCGCAACAAATTTCGCCATGTGAGCCTCCTAGCCTCTCATGTCTTTCTATTGATACTTTTTTACTGCCCGAATCTTGTAGTTGCTAAAGCTGAGGTGCTATTTATGAAACTACAATGAAACATTGTCTTTTTTTTTGTTTTAAGACTCAGTCGAGTCATGCATGCTGCGACAAGCGAAGAAAGATTATTACATTAATATGTTTAATATCGATGATATACGTCAAAGTGACGTGATGTGGCAAAGACTCAAAACATTGCTTAACTACAAACCACAGGTTTCTATGCCAGTTGAAATTAACATAGATGGTTGTATAATATCGGGGATGGATATGGTGAATGCTTTTAATAACTATTTTGTAAATCATACCACATCTCCTGTTTCTACTACTACTGTAAATAATGCACTTCAGTGCACGCCTTCACCCTTGCCTAATTTTATATTTCTTTTTCCTACTGAAGTATCCGAAGTCTATAATATATTTATGAGTCTAAACAATAGTAGAAGTATTGATGCATACAATATGCAAATAAAGCCAGCAAAGTATGTTCTAGATATCCTAGCACCATACCTAACTTATATATTCAATCTTGCACTTGAGTGCGGTGAGTTTCCTATCAAAATGCAGATTGCCAAAGTTAGTGTATTGCATAAAAGTGGTGACTTAAATAATATTAACAATTTTAGACCAATTTCCATACTTCCAGTATTTTCTAAGCCACTCGAAAAAATCGTTTCAAATAGAATTGTCTCTCATCTTGAGAAATACCTTTTAATTACAAATTCTCAATTTGGTTTCCGTAAGAGTTATTCAACTGAGTTAGCATTACTAAAACAAAAAGAAATAATATTAAGAGCACTAGATAATCGCTTATTAACGATCGGTAAATACTTAGATTTCTCTAAGGCCTTCGACACGATAAATCACAATGTCCTCATAGCAAAATTAGAATACTATGGCATTCGTGGGAAAATATTAAGTTTGTTACAATCTTACTTACGGAATCGTACCCAGTTCGTGTCTATATTTAACTTTAAATCTGATATTTCAAAAATAACAAATGGTGTACCCGAAGGCAGCATTTTAGGCCCCCTACTTTTTATTCTTTATGTTAACGATATTGTGAATGTAAATCGGGATCTTAAAGTTGAGTTCGTAATATATGCTGATGACACTAGCATCTTCTTTTCCGATAAAGATATTTGTACTCTAGTAACTAAATGTAATACCGTTCTTGAACGTGTAGCAAAATGGACAAAAAATAATCACCTTAAGTTAAATTCGCAAAAAACCAAAGACATTTTCTTTAAAAGTCAACATGCTACAGTTATGATCCCAAACCCACTGATTTTGAACAATGAAGAAATTGAATTTCTCGACACTATTAAGACTTTGGGTGTTTTGTTTACAAATAGTATGTCTTGGAATAAACATGTTGATAATCTTTCGTCTAAATTGTCAAAAACAGTGGGGTTGCTAACCAAGTTTAAATCGTTGCTACCTCGTTGTGTTAAGCTCCAACTTTACAATGCTTTGGTATATTCCCAACTTAATTATTGTCATCTAGTTTGGGGAAATACAACAAAAACAAATATAAATAAACTACATATTTTACAAAAGAAAGCTGTGCGTGCTATTGCCAATGTTTCATACTATGATCATACTGAACACTTGTTTTCATTGTTTAATATAAAACCAATTTCAAATATTTACAGGTCCCGACTTCTTATGGCGCACAAGAAGTCTACGCAGTTTAAAAATAAAGTTTTTGAGGAGTTATGTAACCTAGTCCTTTTCACTTCCTCATATCAACTCCGCCCTAAAGAAAACTGGTTTGCTTCACCATCACATACATTATATTATAACCACACGCTAAATTACCATTTAACTACTTTGTTAAATG